GGGTGACAGCTTTGCAGCCCCGGGCCGGAGCAGTCCAGGTGCTGGGAAGCGCCGGAGGGGTCTGCCCGCAGGATTCCCCTCTGCGTTCCCTCTCCATTCCCTCTCGCTCAGGGCTCGAGCACCCAGCTGGGCCCTTCCTGTGTGGGAAGAGGCTGCTGAGCTCCTTGCATCCCTGGGAATTTCTTGCCTTTGTTGTCTTAACATGTGTTTGCGTTTTTCCCCCTCTTTGCGCTGAGCGTCACAGCAATGTACCCAGACCCACCAGTGCTGCAGACTGAGCTGTAGGGTATGGGTCATGGTTTTATGAGCTTATTTTTTCCTGGGTGGAAAAGGGAGCAGCTCCCAGCTGAGAAGGGAGCTTGGATGTGGCCGGGAAGCCCTTGCCAGTGCCCTGGAGGTGCTCGGCCCCCCCATTTTTCCCCCTCTTTGCGCTGAGCGTCACAGCAATGTACCCAGACCCACCAGTGCTGCAGACTGAGCTGTAGGGTATGGGTCATGGTTTTATGAGCTTATTTTTTCCTGGGTGGAAAAGGGAGCAGCTCCCAGCTGAGAAGGGAGCTTGGATGTGGCCGGGAAGCCCTTGCCAGTGCCCTGGAGGTGCTCGGCCCCCCCATACAGAAAGGGAGAGGGCCGCGTTGTGGCACGTATAAATAGCACGTTTTAAGGCATTCAGGTGTTGCAGCTCTGTGAGCGAGAGATTTTCTTCCTGCTTGCGTAAGGGTTTACGTGAAGGGCCGGATTGGAGGGAAGGATCTGGCACTGGAGCGAGCCCCCTGCCCGCAGCGCAGTTTTGCAGCCGTGGTTTTGCCGCGTGGTCTGCGGGGAGCATGCCAGGGCGCTGCGCCGCCTCGCCACTGTCCCGTGATGGGCACAGTGGGACCCATGCCCCCCCTGCCTCCCGCAAACAGCACCCAGCTCTTGTGGTGGGGCTGGCGTGGACAGCTCCAGGATAGACTCATCCCTGCTCACAGCCTTGAGCACCTAACAAGTCTGAAGCTTGGAACTGAGAGATTTATGGCTGCCCTGACCTTGCAAAATTGCTGAGTCAGATGGCGAAGGCTGGTTTTGTGGTTTGTTTTTTTTTTTTCCCCTGCATTCCCTGGCTTTAAAAAAACCCATGGATTCCCAAAGCCTGGAAGCCGTCCTGCCACGGTCCGGCATGAGGACTGTCCCCAGGCTGTGGCGAGGGGGAGCAGCTGGTCCTGAGTTTGCACCGCACGCTTGAGCTCGCTTCTCCGCATCCTCCTCCCGCAGGAAGGGTGCAATATCCT